CCCCCCTGCTCTAACCACTAGAACCCAGGCGTCCTGGCTCCCAGCCCAGAAGGAGGGCTAGCCCTGTTTTTCTGGACACTAACTTGGGCAGTGGGACACTCCCACCAGACTGAATTCCCTGCCCATCCAGGCTGGTCACTTAGCCTCTCTGGGCCTCAGTTTCCCCATCCCTACAATGGGTAGAGCAGCCCTGCCCTGCCTTGCGGGTGGTGGTGGGTAAACAGCCTGCAGCTTGTCAGGCACCCAGAGGCCATGGTGATGGGGGCCGGAGGAAGCCCTGGGGCGGGGAGGGGCCTGCTGATATCACAATGCCAGGCCCCAGGTCAGAGGTTCCGGGCCGGCCCACAGCAGCATGGGGCAGTGATGCTGCCTCACCAGCAGGGGGCACTGATGCTGGGAGCACCCTGTGCTGGGGCCATAGGCCCCCGGGCACTGGCAGTCATGGACCCCTACTGCTGCCGTGACATGCCCCACGATCTCGGCCTCCTGGGACCCCCAACTCCGACAAGCCAAGCCTGACCCTGCTAGCTGGCCATGCTGATGCATCCACCAGGTGGGCTGAGGATGGGGCCTGGCATGTAAGGGGGGGCAGGACTCCTGGGTTCTCTCCCCGGCTCTGGGATGGGAGTGGGTCTAATGGCCAGAGCAGGGGGGCTGGGAGCCAGGACTCCTGGGTTCTCCTCTTGCTGACTTCCCCCCTAGGCATCGTGCGGAGGAGTCCGCACCCCTTCCCCGAATGCATCAGCGACTTCGCCTTCGCCGGCTGGATCCCGGTCATCGGGGAGCTGCAGAAGCTGCTGGGGCGGGGGGAGTACAACCCCTTGTGCCCCGCCCCCCTCTTTGAGAGCAACTTCCTGCAGGTGAGCGCTGCCCCCTGCTGGTGGGGGGGATCGGGGCAGCTCCAGGGCGCCCTCTCTAGGCTGCTCCTTGCCCCTGCACCTTGGTTGGGCTCCGTCAGGCCCAGGGCCAAGGCCTCTCCCTGGTGGGGCTGGAAGCCGCGGGTTCTAGTCCTGCTGCCTGGGGAGAGGGGTGTGTGATCCAGCAGGGGGGGGGGGGGGGGGGGCTGGTGCCTGGGACCCCCCCACTAAGCCTCCCCCGCCCCCTGCCTTGCAGGTGACCAAGCGGGGCGAGCTGGTGGATCTGCACAACCGCGCCAGCCTGGTGACCCTGGGCATCGCTGCCACCAGCCCCGCCCTGCTCCTGCCCGACGTCATGATCATCGCCCGCCCCACGGAGATGCCCCAGGGGGAGCCGTTGGGCCCCAGGGGGGCTCACGTCCGGCCGGGGCTGGAGCTGACCCGGTGAGTGCCAGCAGGGGGCGCCATTCGCAGCAGTCAGGGCTCAATGCCCCAGGTGGCACTAGGAGACGCCGTGCTGCAGCCAGGCCAATATAAGCTGGGAGCCGGGCCTGGTGTGTGAGTCAAGGGCAGGAAAAGCTCTGTGTTCTGCTAATGGCAGCTGCATGAACAGCCCTGGCGCCCCACCCCAGAGGTGGCTGCATCTCAGTGCTGTGTGAACAGATTCCAGGCCTCCCTGCTCTAACCACTAGACCCCACTCCCCTCCCAGAGCCGGGGAGAGAACCCAGGAATCCTGGCTCCCAGCCCCCCACCAACCACTAGGCCCCCCTCCCCGAACGGGGCTGGAACCCAGGCGTCCGGCTGACCCCCCGCCCCCGGCAGGCTGATCCCGCTGGAGCTGGTGAGCCTCTACCTGCATGACCTGGGGGAGCAGCGGCTGAAGCTGCGCCTGGCCACGGGGCATGTCTACTACCTGCAGCTCTGCGCCCCCCGGGGGGAGGAGCGCCCGCTCTTCACCCGCTGGCTGCGTCTCATCTACTTGCTGAGGGCCCCCCCGGACAGCTGGGCCAGCATCCCCTCCTGGCACACCGCCGACCTGCGCGGGCGCAGCGCCAAGGTCAGCTGGGGGCAATGTGGAGTCGTCAGGCCCATGGCGGGCGTGGGTCGTATGGGCTGGGGGGGCAGGGGGCGGGGAGGATGTTGGCACCAGGGAGACCCGGCCAGGGCCGGCTCTGGCTTTTTCGCCGCCCCAGGCGAAAAAGCCTCCGGCCGCCCCCCCCCTCCCCCCGCGGGGGGGGGG